AAAAAAAGCGTCTTTATATTTTGTCGGTCTATAAGTCCAATAAGCGGTAGGAAGATTAATTATGCAACAAAAATTGCTTTAATTAACCTATCTAATTTTTAAGAATACCATTAGTAGGAATACCAAAATAATACCGGTATTTTATTACGGTTTTCGGTAATATATCGGTTTCGGTACTATAACGGTAACGGTAAGACTCAATTTCGGTACTATATCGGTTTCGGTATACAATCTCTAGTATAATACCGGTATTGAAATCATACCGGTATGAAGTCCCTGTTCATACATGAGATGCAAGTATAGCATACTGTATGATTTTAAGAATTGAAATTTCAATTAAAAAAACACGTGTAAAAATTTACATGTGAACATATATATACGTATACATATATATAATAGAACATTTCAGCATAACATCCTGCAAAGCGGCTCGTATGATCTTATTCTTATTCATTTCTTAGTTATTACTTCAAGAGAGCCTTAAGTTTCTATATTAATTGTTAAAATTTCTTTCTTTTTTGTTTGTACATGCAAAAATATAATTTCTTCTTACATATTTTCTAACACATTACGTTAACCTTCAGCTAGTAGACTCAGAGTCAATTTTGATCCATGGATTTGTTTTCTTATTCTTTATATAAATAAAAAAGTTTTGCAAAGTTAAACTTGTGCTATAAGGCAATAATGACTCCAAGTTTCGCTCACTGTCGAAGAATTAATTAAATAAGGTAAATGTCCCAGTATTCGGACGCTTAAAGAATAGCGGCAAAATATCTACTGATTTAATGTGTAAAAGAACCATAAAATTAAACAATTTTTGTTTTATTACGAGTTGATACAATTATTTATTGAAAACTGAAACAATTCAACTTTCTGAATTACATGTATTTATTTTAATAAAAAAATACGAAAATGTGCAAATATCCTAGTAACCTAAAAGTGCATTTGAAACTAATAATTTTCAATGTTATATAATCATTATTTCACTTCATGTTAATAAATTTTTATACTTTACAATAAAAATTGTTGTTTTTAATTATAATAAAAATTAGGATACAAAATGAATGCAATTTGTATTATTGTCCGGATACCGGGACATGTCCAGATACTGGGGCATTTACCTTATAGAGTTAATTGTTTATGTATCTTTAAAAATAAATTTTTACTATTTAAGTATAATCTTTACATGTTATTGACTATTTTTTAAAATTATGTTATTATGAATTATTTGTGTCAAATCTATAGCTACATTAAAGTTTAAATTAGGCACTTTTTTGAAATATGTATATACATATTTAAATAAGACATTGACATACAGTCTCATCTCTTCTCTACGTCTGTTTTATCAAAGTAAGAAGTCTTGAACATAATTGTAAAGAACATAAGGTAAACTAAATTAAGAAAAGTAAAAATATTTTACAATTACTGATAATATATAAGAAAAAATAATTATGTATTGTTTGTATTCATAACGTCGTTATCGTATTTGGATAATAACACTTGTCCTTCTTCTCCTTTCCATAGTTGTCGAATGTAAACAAAAAGTCCAATGGTACATATTAAAATTCCAATACCCGCTATTCCGAAGAATGTTACAGAACCCAGTGATGAAAGAGTCAAAAGTAGCTTAACTTTGCTTGCATAATCGGCAGTTAAATAGCTTCTTGGGTAAACCACAGCATCGGAACGTAAGTCGTGCTTATAGTTTCAAACACCCTGAAAAATTGAGAATATAATTTAATAATAATTTAACACACATTATATATTATCATAGCTAGACATATTATTATTACCTCATATCTTCTACTCGATCTATCAACAAGTTTAATTGCAGTTGCGCTTTAACCTGCATCGGGATACCTGTTGTCTTTAAAAAAAGTTTATTTAATATTATACGCAAAAGTTTTATTATGAAAATCTAAGAGGAAATATTTCTAGAATTAAAATAGCGCATATTTCTAGAATTTTTGAATAATTTTTCTATAAAAAAGGGTGTGCAGACGTAAATACTTACTGGTTCTAATACAATTGATAGTTCGTGTTTCTCTTTATTAGGAAACATTCCTGTTATAGCTTCCGTATAACTCGGATCTGCTAGATAAAAGTGCGGCATACTAACAAATGCCGGTGCACCAAATTTGCAAGAAGAAATATTTAAGGTTCCACTAGGTCCGCAATCTCCATTGGGACAATAACACTTTCTCGATGTTACATTTTTACCATTATCCAGCATTGTATTGTCTCCGACATATCTACTTCCTTCTAAATCTTTAAATGTTGTTCTATTTGAGTATATTAATGTTACAGATCTAAACAAGAACATTTTTTGTTATCGATTTTCTGCTTAATTTTATTTTTGACTCACTTACCAACTTTTTATTTTTATGTTAATCTAATTATCTTTTGTTACTCTTATTTTTTTAATGTGATATATTAAAAAATTTAATATTATACTTTTCTTTTTATGAATATTATGGCGATACCGAACAAGTGGATATTTTGCAGTTGGAGTAATGAATAAAATAACTAGCTCCCAAACATTTCAACTTTATCATCAAGTCATCATCAGTGGGATTTTTAATGTGACTGTCAAACACAATTTTTTTAATGATGAATAACTAGTTGTCAATATTAAATATAAATGGTCAATGTTAACCATTCTTTAACTACGAGTATGTTAACATATTTTACTTCTGACTACCATTCATATTTAATATTTACAACTAGTTTATTCATCATTAAAACAATGTATGGTTGTGTTTGACAATCAAATTAAGAATCCCACTGATGATGACTTGATAATAAAGTCAAACTGTTTGCAAGCTATTTATTTTATTCATTAATCTAACTGCGAGACATCATCCAGCAACTTGTTCGGTATCATTCCATAATTTCCACGTATCAAGAGTTTTTAAAACCGAACCCAAAACTTTTCCTCTATAATGTCAATAATTTTCTTTCTTTTTTTTCTCATAAAAAAGTTAGTAACTCACGTGCAAATATCGGGAACAAATAAAGATATAGTTTTATTATTTGGCAATGGCGGCCAAAAATCACCAAGAGTTCCATTAATCAAACCGCATGAACCCTGATAATAATCTGTCCTATTATTGAAATTCCATTCATTGAGAACTCCCATATTATAAAAGTCATTTTTTCCAGTAAACATATTGAATGTGCCATCATAACTATCAGAGCCATTTCTCTGTTAAAAAAATAAAGATTGTAGTTATATTCAAAACTAATTGATATATAGCATATGTCTCACTCACTCCATAAAACCAGCCAAATTTGTAGTAAGGTAATTTAGTAGCATTCATTTTTCGTGCAATATCCAGCAATGTGTCATTGTATCCTTCAAATAACAGTGAATTTACACTTTTCGTAAATATTAGCTGCTCTCCCAGACTTTCCATAAACTTATTGGTTAATTTACGTATAAATGAAGTCTTATTTCTTACGGAAAATGCAACTGTCTAAAATGAAATATTGTATATTAATTGTATAAGTAAATTATATATTTTTAATTGTATAATTAATTGTATAATTAAATATTGTATAAAATTAGATATTGCAATGTTAGATTGTTCCACAATTTAATTGCTATATAATTACTATTTCTTACCGCAACTATTGGATTCAAATTGGTTACTTTATCAGACAGAGATCCCTTGGATAATGACTCTTCAAAAATCCATATTTTTCTTCTTTGAAATGTTACAGTTCCATTGTCATGCCAGATCTGGTTTACTTTATAATCAATTTCCCTATAAACATTCAATAGTTCTAATTATATTATAGCTCATTAAATTCTTCTCTAAGTTTTAAAAAAAATTTACAAAAATGAAATGTTATATACCTAAAAACATAAGGCCCCATTTCTTCAAAATGTGGTTTTACTTTATATGTAGTAAGAAACTCATGTGAATTAGTCCAATTAAACATGTAGAACTTGAAATACATTGGAATAGGAGTTTCTTGCCATAAATCATAACTAATAGATGACTGTGTTAACGTCAGTATCTGTATAAAAAATTAAGAAAATTAAATACATAACCTTTATCATTTTGATAGGAGAATGTGAATAGGTACATTAATAACACATCATTTAAAAAATAATAATAATACAAGAATGCAACTTTATATATTTTCTGTAAACTTACTTTTGTAATAGTCCAATTATCAAGATAGGCAATCCAAAGAGATCCTGTGATCACACCAAGAACTATCAATATTATACCAATACTTGAAATAATTACAATTTTTTTCTTAGATTTTTCCATTTTTATCACAGATCTGAAAAAGTCAACAAAAATAGTAACCACCTGTATATAAATTTGTAATTTTATATTATTCTATTTCTTTATAATCTCAGAAAGAAATTGTTATAAGTTGCAAGAAAAAGTACAAAATTATTCATATAAACCAGTGAGTATGTAAAAGTATCTGATGAAATATCATGTATTGCATTTGCATATAATTATAGGTGCTTTCCAACTATATATACAGACAACACTGTAACACGTTAATATAACATTTGTATGAGAAAGAGCATTTTAGTGTCTCACCCACACTAGTGGACACTGTATTACACAGTGTCGCTTGTGTATGTAATTGGAAAGCACTAAAGGCCGATTATTGTTCTATATATCTTCCGATAAATCTCAGCTTACTCGACAGGTTATTATCTATAGGATAGGAATGTAACTAGCGCATCTCTCACTGTTTTTTATTTTTATATATTTATCTGTTAGATACAACTTACACGGTACCGAGAGTGTAATGTATTTTTTGGTTTCTGGTCATTTACCAGATATATAAATGTTACCGACACATGGAACAACAAAAATCAGAATTTTAATTATGGTTTGGTGCAAAAATGGCTCAGTGGACCGAATAGAGTTAGTCTTCTTCTTCTTCTTCTTTGCACTTATGGCGCCATGCCACCTGAACGGTTTAAGGCATCAGCCAGTCTTTGATTGGGTTCTTCTTTCTTCTTCTTTGCACTTATGGCGCCATGCCACCTGAACGGTTTAAGGCATCAGCCAGTCTTTGATTGGGTGTACGTAAACACCGTGAATAAACAACACTAAAGTGGGCTAAGTCTTTGTTGTAAACTGGATTTTAGTGACTACTACATACTACTTGATCGCGGATGTGTACGTGTTTACTGTCCCTCGGCAGGATAAACTTACAACGCAAGTCTCCCTACCATTCACAAATAAAACAACTAGGTCTAAAACCGTGTTTTGGGTACTCAACACCAAGACACGGAGTTATACTTTCATTAAAAACACTACCAAACAAATAAATCAGTGCAAAAAACACCGAAAAAGTCCAAAAATATATTTAAGCGTAACTACGCACGTCCTGTCGGAACGGCTTGTCGCCGCCATCTGAATAGAGTTAGTCCATACGCCATTCTAGGTTACAGAGTTTTAATTATACTCGGTTCAACAAGAAAATAGGACACCCATAGACGAAAACAGGGGGTTCAAACTCGCCTCTTGTGAGAAGGGCAACGCTGTTTTCAGCGCCGCCTGGACTAGCTAACCGAAAGTAGTAAACCTAGTGAACTAAAGAACGAGTGGTGGGAGGTACCGCCATATTTAAACCGTCGCACGCATAGACATATAAAGCCCGTTCTACATTGATCGCAAGCGCAAACGCAAGGAACAGGTCTGGTAGAATTGACTAAATCGTATTGATCAAATCAGCCAATTGACCAGCGTGATTGGTCAATTCCACGAGATCTGTTCCTTGCGTTTGCGCTTGCGATCAATGTAGAACGGGCTTAAGAAATAGATTGCGCGTTTCCTATCTTCTCTGTGGAGGAGGAATGGTCTAACCTCAGACAAGATAGATGCTTTCACTCGTGCCTCTATCCTTGTTTAGTGACGCGATGATTGGCGGACAAGAAAAGTAGTAGAAATGCATATATATAATACTTCTATATTGCTAGTCGCGTATCTTCGCAATGAGAGGCACGAGGCCGGAGAAAGAGAGACGCACGAAGTCCAAATATGGGCATAGATAGTCGAGCGTCATTATGCGCAAGCGCGTCTACTAAGCGAGTGCGAGCGAGACAAAGAATTGGATAGTGAGAGAAAGAACGCGAGAAAGAGAAATGCGCAAGCGTGCTTGAATGTTCACCGCATGCGCACAAAGCAGCTGGACCTTGCGCGAGAGAGAGGCTACTATATTGTCTGCACCGTAACATTTGGGCTTCAGGTCGGCACCACAGACTTCTATATACTACACTAGACCGCTAGCTCGCGTGATCTCAGCGTAGATAATGGCTACAAAATCTATGTACAATAGGGGTACTGTGGAATGCGGGTTTCATTGGTTGATTTTGACAATAAGGAGAGTTCATCCAATCATTGCCTATATACTTATGTACGTGCGCGACAATGCATGCGCAGATAGTAATTCAGCAGTTCAGCATAGTGAAGGTTATATGGCGGTTGACGGCATAAAGCACACATTAAAAGAAACGAAAACCAATATGACAAAATATTGTGTTTTTGGCTGCCGAAATAAGGCAGACAAAGAAAAAAACTTTACAACTCAATCAGCTGTCAAACATGACGGCCATCTTGCATTCTTCAGTACCCCATCTTCCCCCTCCATGACGACTTAAGTACATAGATTTTGTAGCCAGCCGTACATAAGAAGCTAGCGGTCTAGTATACTATAGAAGTCTGTGGTCGGCACCGTACTAGCAATATAAAAGTATTATATATATGTAGAAATGAGAAATAGCGTAGTGGGGCGATAAAGGAGCACCGAGCGATAAAGAGGCGACAGTAGGCGTTTGACAGTCAATAAGTAGTTATAGTATAGATTAATTTAAATCCGTTATTATTTGTTAAAAATCATTAGTATACATCTGAAAAAGTAATTGAGTGTAACAAAAAATACGAAAAATAACAGAAGTGTTACAGAACCGGTTCCTAACCAAAGCCATTACATCTGTAGTCATGTAGCGTTATCTGAGTTGTCTCCCGAGTGGGAAATCCCCACTCCAGATGCTGAAAGACAGAAACGGAGACACGAGTGACAGCATCTGTCTCGCTCTGTAGTTGAACCCACTTTCTCACACACGCAGTCTATTTCTTATATGTCTATGGTCGTACGCGCGTGCCAGTATAAGTATACTTAAGCCCCTTGCACAATGGAAGGAAAGCGATAGCGATAGAAATAACACAGTTTTTAATACTGAATTCCAACTCGTCGGAAATTTTATCGCTATTGCTTATTCCGATTTTCTGATCTGCATTGATACATGNGTAGTTTTGTATGTTAGATTCCGTTGTTCCTACCTTTATTTTTAAATATAAACTCTTTAAAACTTTTGTTATTTCTATCGCTATCGCTATTCCGTCCATTGTGCAAGAGGCTTTATACAGCGACTTCGATAGCCTGTACTAGTACGCATTGAGTGCGACTTTTTCAATAAAACTTTTTTTGAAAGTTTTCAATAAAACTTGTTTTGGAAGTTTCATTGAAAAAGTCGCACTCAGTCAGAGATGTCAGTTCGTGGACTCAGTAAGCACGCAGCAGCAAGTGGAAGGGATACGCACACAGGCGAAAAGCCGTATACGTATGCGCTCGGCGCTTCGGCTAACCGCGAAGTAAGAGTAAGGAGATCGAACTTGACAGTGCAGTGTTCCGACATGGGACCATAGACGTATAATATATAGACTGCGCGTTTGGCTGAAAAGATGTCATCAACGTTGAGAGAGACTACATACTTTGAATAGTAACTCTTTCTCTGTCTATCAATGTTTGTGGTGGGATCAGGGCCTACTGTTTCATATTACCTAACCTACCATCACCCCTTAATCTCTTTCACTCTTCTTCACCCTCATTATTTTTCTATCCCCACTTTTCCACTACTATTCTATCAATCAGCGAAGACTTCTTTTTCCTCCACTACTTCGCTAGACAAAGATGAGGCCAGTTTTAAGACTTTTGCAGCATGCAGCAGCAGGCGAAGAGGATACACACTCAGGCGAACAGCCGCGTCCGTGTACGCTCAACGCTTCGGCCAACTTCGAGCAGTAGACAGAGACGGATATATATAATCTCTCTGTCTTCCCTTATAGCTATAGCTATAGCTAAACCGCGAGAAGCGTACCTCGTTGCTAGCCAGTTTCTCGCGCGTGACTCGTATGTTCCTTCTTTCTTCCTCCTTCTCTCTCTCTCTCTCTCTCTCTCTCTCTCTCTCTCTCTCTCTCTCTCTCTTTCTCTCTCTCTCTCTTTCTCATAGTTACACGGTCTGCCGATCTTCACTGCCGATACTGAACATCTAGCACATTTAATGTGAAGTATAGATTTGTAGTACTATCTAGCAGTGAATATCGGAACGCAGACTATTACTAAATCTGAAAATAACATAATAAAATAATAATTTGAACATATAAAATATATAAAATAATATA